TCATTAAAGCCTCCCCTAGATTATGCAGTCAATTCTGGTCTCCATATTACAGAATGGACATAAATTCGTTAGAAAACATTCAGCGTAGGATGACTAAATTAATACATAGCATTAGAAATCTTCCTTATGAAGAAAGATTGAAGATCTTAAGTTACTTTCCCACTTGTTAGACGAAGAATGAGGGGGAGACCTGATCGAAGTGTATAAGTGGAAGATAGGTATTAATAAAGGGGATATTAACAAGGTCTTGAGGATATCTCTCCAGAGAGAACCCGCAGTAATGGATTTAAATTAGATAAGTTTAGATTTAGAAAGGACATAGGAAAGTATTGGTTTGGAAATAGGGTAGTTGATGAGTGGAACAGTCTACCTAGTTGGGTTATTGAGGCTAGGACTTTGGGTAGTTTCAAATTTAGGTTGGATAAGTACATGAGTGGGAGGGGTTGGATTTGAGAGGGGCTTGCACATCGGAGCATGTTTCTTGGGTGGCATTGAAAATTGGGTTGGTCAAATGTTTGTTAGTGGGATGAATTGTAAAGGACCTGCCTAGTATGGGCCAACAGGCTTGCTGCAGTGTTCCTCTTTTCTTATGTTCTTATGTTCTTATGTTCTTACACCGTCTATTCCTCGACCTATTCCCACTTACCCCCTTGCCCCTTGGGGTCTTTACCTGTGAGTCCTCATTCATTCATTCATTCAAGTTGTTTCAAGTGTTTACTTGGAAGTGTGGTGTTTAACCTGTTTTAAATATATATGGGTAAATAAAGCTTGTTCTGGAGTCACATTAGCAGAATTATTATCTTAAGTGTTGTATGTGTCACCTGAGGATTCGTCAGTATCACTTTTCTCAAGTAAAGTGGTGAACTAAAGGAACTTTTTTAGCTGGATAGGTTGGTTGTTTATGAAGTTCTGTTGCAAAATTAAAATTCTACTTATTATAAATTAGCATATCTTCAGTAAACCATTTTCAATTGATGATCGGCCTCATGAGTCCTTAATATTTTTGTAAATTATGGAGATGCGGGGTATCGATCACTGTACCTCTCGCATGCTAAGCGAGCGCTCTACCATCTGAGCTACATCCCCGTGACTGGAAATGCCGGGGATCCAACCCGGGACCTTTCGCATGCAAAGCGAACGCTTTACCTCTGAACTACACTCCCTTAGCAATAACAGTGTGCGATTTTCTACTTGAAGTTATTTTGTTGAGCTCTCATATTATGTGCTTTAATTCTGGGATTCGCATCAACTTCTTGTGTGCTGACTGTTGTGTTGACTTATAATGTGATGCACGATCTCTACCTCTGTGAGGTTGTAGAACTGTAGTCTTACGCTTCCAGGACACCAATGGAAATAAGACACTTTGGCTTTTTTTGGGTTATCCTACGTAATTTACACTACGTATGATAACTGTACCTGAGCCTAAATAAACTGATTTTGTATTCAATTGTCACGTGTCGTGGATCTGGTTTCGTCTTGCTGGTCAGTCTATGTTTACTAAGTTATTTAGGTGGTACACATAAGAATAACTATCATTCATAGCAACATATGTGTAAATCAGCTAGGATAACCCAAAGAAAGTCAAACTTATTTCCACTGATGTCCCTTTATTTAGTCTTCTGAATCTCCTGCGAGTGTCAAATTATCAAATATTTCCTGCGGCGTAGTGTGGCACTTCACTGGTAACCAGATATTAATATGTTCAATACTATTGTAGGTTTTCTCGCTGTCTAAACTTTGCGTTCCATTATGCGCCTCTGCATTCTTCAAATTTCCTCCCACACCATGGGTATGGTGTGACTACCACCCACACTATGGGTATGGTGTGACTACCACCCACACCATGGGTATGTTGTGACCTCAACCCACACCAAGGGTATGGTGCGACTACCACCCTTACCATGGGAATGGTGTGACTACCACCCACACCCTGGGTATGGTGTGACTACCGCCCTAACCATTAGCATGGTGTGACTACCGCCCTAACCATTAGTATGGTGTGACTACCACCCACACAACGGGTATGTTGTTACCACCACCCACACCATCGATATGTTGTGAAACACCACACATTTCATGGGTATATTGTGAATACCACCCACTCTATGGATATGATGTGACCATCACCCCAGTATGGATATGTTGTGACCAGCTCCCACACCATAGGTATGTTGTGACCACCCACACCATGGATATGTTGTGATCAGCACCCACACCATAGGTGTGTTGTGACCAGCACCCACACCATGGGTATAGGGTGCATAATGAAGGTTATCATTTACTCTGAGACTCTCTCTCTTTACCCTTCCTGCTCCTTTCTGTTATTCCACTAAACCTATTACTGTCCTTGTCAATTAGTGCCACTGGCTTTCCAATATCCACCTCGTTTTGCCTATTACTAGTTCTCCTGAAGTCGCAGGGTAGGAGAACTAGTAATAGGCAAAACGAGGTGGATATTGGAAAGCCAGTGGCACTAATTGACAAGGACAGTAATAGGTTTAGTCGAATAACAGAAAGGAGCAGGAAGGGTAAAGAGAGAGGAGGGTCTTTAAATATATATTACACAAATAGTCGCAGTGCTAGGAATAAGATGGACGAGTTGAGACTAGTTGCTAGTGCAGGTAACATTGATGTATTTGCCTTAACTGAGACGTGGTTTAATTCAAAATGTCGGGACATGCCTGCGGAATGTCACATTCAGGGTTTTAAATTGTTCCAAGTAGATAGAAGTGTCGGGAAGGGAGGTGGGGTGGCATTGTATGTCCGAGATCGCTTGAACTTTGCATAAAAACGGGTATTAAGTCTGAAGTAAAACATACAGAGTCTGTTTGGATAGAATTTTCGGAGGGGCATGAAAAATTAATTTTAGGAGTGATATACCGTCCCCCAAACTTAGGTAGGGACCAGGGGAGACTACTATGGGAGAAAATTGTTAGAGCCACAAGGCACGATAATGTAGTAATTCTAGGAGACTTTAACTTTAGTCATATTGATTGGAATTTCTTGACTGGGAATTTAGAATCATACGACTTCTTAGAAGTAGTCCAGGATTGTTTTTTGAAGCAGTTTGTGACAGAACCTACAAGGGGTAATAACCTGCTTGACTTAGTTCTGGCAAACAATGAATCCCTTGTTAATAATTTAGAAGTTTCAGAGGAACTGGGTGCTAGCGACCACAAATCAATTACATTTAGCATTGAATGGAAGTATGATAGTAGGGATAACTCAGTAACAGTCCCAGATTTTCGCTTAGCAGATTACGATGGGCTTAGAGAACATTTGTCTTCTGTTGACTGGGGTAACGAAGAGAGCTATCAATATGACAGTTTTCTGAACACTATACATGAGGCTCAATGAACGTTTATCCCGTATAAAAAAATTAGATCAAATAGAAATGACCCAAAATGGATGAATAATAGGCTGAAATATCTACTAGGGCATAAGAAAGGAATTTATAGGCGTGTCAAAAGAGGTGAGGGTCATCTTATGAATCAGTATATTGACATTAAGACGGACATTAAAAAGGGGATAAGAAAAGCTAAAAGGGACTATGAAGTTAAAGTTGCTAGGGATTCTAAAACTAACCCAAAAGTTTTTTCCAGGTATATAGAACAAAAGTCAGAGATAAGACAGGTCCCCTTAAAGATAAGTATGGGCATCTTACTGAGAAAGAGAATGAAATGTGCTCGATTTTAAATAATTATTTTATCTCGGTTTTTACACAGGAAGACATTAATAATATTCCAGTAATTAATTTTTATAGTGGGCCAGAAGAAGATAAATTATGTAACATCACAGTCACTAGTGAAATGGTTGTGAAGCAAGGGTTCTTAAGGAATGCAAAATGGAACTCTGTGAACCATTAACTAACATTTTTAATTTATCTCTTCAAACAGGTGTAGTGTCTGATATGTGGAAGATGGCTAATGTAATTCCTATTTTTAAAACAGGGGACAAGTCGTTACCATCAAATTACCGCCCAATAAGCCTGACCTCAATTGTAGGCAAATTACTAGAGTCAATTATAGCTGAGATTATAAGAAGCCATCTCGATAAGCATAGCTTGATTAATGATACTCAGCATGGATTCACAAGAGGCCGTTCTTGTCTAACTAATTTATTAACTTTCTTCAGTAAAGCTTTTGAGGCTGTTGACCACGATAAATAATTTTATATTATTTACTTAGATTTTAATAAGGTTTTTAATAGAGTTCCGCGCAAAAGACTGTTAAAGAAAGTGGCAGCTCATGGCATTGGGGGAAGGGTGCTCTCGTGGATCGAATCATGGCTCACAGACAGGAAGCAGAGAGTGTCCATAAATGGGGTTAAATCCGAGTGGGGATCGGTAACAAGCGGCGTTCCACAGGGATCAGTCTTGGGCCCGTTGTTGTTTATAATATATATCAATTATCTTGATGAAGGAATTAGTAGTGATATGAGCAAATTCGCCGATGACACAAAGATAGGTAGGATAATTGATTCAAACGTAGATGTAAGTGAACTTCAGAAAGATTTAGACAAACTCTATTCTTGGTCAGAAAAGTGGCAGATGCAGTTCAATGTAGATAAATGCAAGGTTCTGAAGCTCGGGAGTGTCCATAACCCTAGCACTTAAAAGTTAAATAATGTAGAACTTAGCCATACAGATTGCGAAAAGGACTTGGGGGTTATGGTAAGCAGCAACCTTAAACCATGACAGCAATGCTTAAGCGTACGTAATATGGCAAATAGATTATTGGGATTTATATCAAGAAGTGGTTTAGAAAGACACGTAAGCAAACACTATAACATATTTATTAGAAAACGTTTCGGTCCTGGGACTTTGATCACTTCTAACATACAGAGGTAGAAAGACATTATATATATAGGCGGAGAGTGAGATGTGACGCACGTGACCTGAGGAATGTCATAAGAACATAAGAATGGAGGAACAGTGTAGAAGGCCTACTGGCCCATGCGAGGCAGGTCCTTATCAAAACAACCTCTACCTATGATGAGGACGGGTAGACGATGAAATCATGTGACTCCTGTGTTAAGTAAAAGGACACAAGTGCAACTAATGTGACATTTATTGTGGCAACGTTTCGCTCTCCAGGAACTTTATCAAGCCATTACAAACAATACATGGACACAGAGGGTATATAAAGGCTCAGAGTGAGGTGAATACTAGTGAGGTACCATTCGATGTTCACTAGTGGTAGTAGTAGTAGTAGTAGTAGTGGTAGTGACAAAAGTAATACAATATGGTAGAGCAATTAATTCGTACATGAGTAAAAGGATATAAAAGCTATTACTTGGGTAACATAAAAATAGGTTGGACAAATATAAACTGGAATGAGGCAGCTTGTTTTCAGTGTTCACTCTCTGTGCTTTGTGTAGTATAACAGGAGAGACTATGTGATGGCAGGGTTTACTGTTTTCAGGAGGATTCTTGCTAAGACTTCGGAGATGGTGAAGCTGCCGTTGTTTTGTTTAATTGTATTCGAAACAGCGATCAGTGCTGATTCAAGGCACTTGCGTGTGCGGAAATTAGTTTCTTTTATCACTAATTGGGCGTCTCTGAATTTCATAAGATGATTGGTGGAATTTCGGTGTTGTACACAGGCGTTGTTTAAGTTGTCGTTCCTACATGCGCAAGTGCCTTGAATCAGCACTGATCGCTGTTTCGAATACAATTAAACAAAACAACGGCAGCTTCACCATCTCCGAAGTCTTAGCAAGAATCCTCCTGAAAACAGTAAACCCTGCCATCACATAGTCTCTCCTGTTATACTACACAAAGCACAGAGAGTGAACACTGAAACGAGCTGCCTCATTCCAGTTTATATTTGTCCAACCTATTTTTATGTTACCCAAGTAATAGCTTTTATATCCTTTTACTCATGTACGAATTAATTGCTCTACCATATTGTATTACTTTTGTCACTACCACTACTACTACTACTACTACTACCACTAGTGAACATCGAAATGGTACCTCACTAGTATTCACCTCACTCTGAGCCTTTATATACCCTCTGTGTCCATGTATTGTTTGTAATGGCTTGATAAAGTTCCTGGAGAGCGAAACGTTGCCACAATAAATGTCACATTAGTTGCACTTGTGTCCTTTTACTTTACATATTGTCGGTAATTCTACCAACTTTATTACGACTCCTGTGTT